TGACTTCTCTGCTTGCTGCGCAGGAATCGGAGGGTTTGTTTCTTTAAGTTCCTGTAAAAGTCTGTGGACACCTCCGACAAGCAGAATTTCTTTCTTTCTTTCTTTCTTTTTTTGAGACAGAATCACTGTCACCCAGGCTAGAGTGCAGGGGCACGATCTCGGCTCACTGCAACCTCCGTCTCCCGGGTTCAAGCGATTATCCTGCTTCAGCATCCCACGTAGCTGGGATTACAGGTGCGCGCACCACGCCCGGCTAATTTTTTGTTTGTATTTTTTAGTAGAGATGGTGTTTCACCATGTGGGCCAGGCTGGTCTTGAACTCCTGACCTCGTGATCCGCCCGCCTCGTCCTCCCAAAGTGCTGAGATTACAGGCGTGAGCCACCGGGCCCCGCCGACAAGCAGAATTTCTAATGTGGGGATGATATATGGGATTTAGGAACTTCCCAGATGTGTTGCAGGATGAATGAAAGCTGGAGTGCGGCTTATTTTGGTTCTCGACAACTCCAGAGTCACTGAAAATCTAAAGGACAGTTTTTCCTTTTTCACATTCGAGTTTGATACCAGTGATCTCTCAAAGATAAACTTTTTATAGGTAGTGTTGCAGTTCTTAAACGATGTAGTTTCTTTTTTTGAAACAAGTTTATTTTTGTTGTAATAAACTACGTTAACCGTTTTAAAGTGTAGAATTCAGTGACATTGAGCCCAGCATTCACATTGCTGTGCAGCGTCACCACTGCTCATCTCCAGAACCTTTTCATCATCCTAAACTGAAACTCTGTACCCGAGAGCACCCTGTTGCCTCCAGCTCGCCCTCTGGTAACCTCTTTTCTACTACTTTCTATTAATTTGCATATTCTAGGTACCTCAGATAAATAGAATCATAGAATATTCGCCCTTTTATATTTGGTTTATTTCACTTAATTTTTTTTTCTTTTTCCGTTTTTTTTTTGAGACAAGGTCTGGCTCTGTCACCTAGACTGGAGTGCAGTGGTGCCATCTTGGCTTTTTGCAGCCTCAACATCCCAGGTTCAAGCGATCCTCCCACCTCAGCCTCCCCGGTAGCTGAGACTACAAATGCACGCCACCACGCCTGCCTACAAATTGTTTTTGTAGAG